TAGTAATTAATTTTGCGAATGAAAATGCTTATGATGCGTAAATTTCAAGATTGCTTATTCCTAAATTTTCGCTTGACGATGAAACAGGGCTTGATAATTCAATTTATATTGAGGTTTTCGTCTATCGTTTTTGAAACTTGAGAACTCTTATGTAGCGAAGTAATCATATGTTTTTAAAATAATTATAATATATATATATACACAGAGAGAGAGAGATAGAGAGAGAGAAAGAGAGAGAGAGAGAGGAATATTTATATATATGTTTCTTATAATATGAAGATAAAATAGGCCGATTGAAAAATCGACGAATAAGACGACAAGAAAATGCTAACATTATTGATAATAAGATGACTTTCATTATATATCAGACTAAATTGAAGGACGAAGAGAAAGATCTTAAAGTCAAGGAGAAATAAACAAAGAAGTAGAATGTTTTTGTTCAAAGGGATCTAATCTTATCAATCTTATTGGTAATGTTATTATCCTTTTGATTTTTTTTTACTCCTCAAATGTTTTAACCAGCTTATTACAGCTACACGCACACATATATTTTCTGTTTATACGTTATTTTATTAGAGTGAATAATTAATATATATATATATATATATATATATATATATATATATATATATATATATATATATATATATATATATATATATATATATATATATATATATATATTTGAACAATAAAAAATTCAAAAATAAAATTTTAAGACACACTAGGCTGTATATTATTTTGTTTTTTTATTATTTCAATTAGGTTACTCGACTGTTTTTGGCTAGCATATCCATTATCAATAGAAAAAAAACCTGCTTGTTATTTAATTCAGCAAATTCTTGAAGCCAGCAAATTTTTGAAGTCAGCAAATTCTTGAGGTCGGTAAATTCTCGAGGTCAGCAAATTCTTAAGTTCAGCAAATTTCTTGAGGTCAGCAATTGAGTACCTACTCAAACACAATCTTTTGACAGTGGCACGCGCGACATTAATCAATAAAATATGAACTCCTACGGCATTTACGGTGTCTAGTAAAAGAAAATAACACCTAATTCCATAACAAGAACGAATGACTGATGTGTGTGAAGTAAAGTCGTCTGGATAGCATGGACATGCACTTTTATATTTGCTATTATTCCAAGCTTGGAATGGTTTCTATATAAAATACTTAGCTTTCTAACCGTCACAAAAATCTTGAGCGTTACATAATCTTCCAAAAATTGTAAGCTTCTACACTTGAAGGAGAAATTGTTTTAATTGTAAGATAGTGGCGTTTATTATATCATATTTGAATATCGGCTTGCCTTTGATGACGGCATGTGATATTTTGGTAGAATAGATACCGGAATACATTGAAGAATGCTGATCTCGTTTTGAATGAATCGAAAGAAAGACAAATTGAGTTAAAGTGCAGAAATGGAATTAAGGGCAAAAAAGAAGATGAGGAAGAAGAAGAAAATTATAGAAATGAAGATGAGGTGAGAAGGTCAGAAGAAAGATAAAAGAAGAAATACCTAGAGAAGACAAATAAAAGAATATATATATATATATATATATATATATATATATATATATATATATATATATATGAAAAGGTTAAAAATGAAGGGCACACAAATAAGGCAACAAACAAAACCAGAGAAGTTGAAGAAAACAAACGGAGGAAATAAAAAGAAGAGAGGAAGAAAAAGAAAGCGAAGAAAAATACGAGAATAGAAAAGCAAAAGGGAAGGAAAAGAAGATAGAAAGAAGAGAAGATGAATAAGGTAAAGTGAAGAAGAAGAAGAAGAAGAAGAAGAAGAAGAAGAAGAAGAAGAAGAAGAAGAAAAGTGAGGAAGAAGGAAAAGGTAAGGAGAAAGATAAAAGAAGGAAAAATCTCGTGAAGACAAGGAATGAAATAAAGAAAAGGGAAAATTTAAGGCAGGACAAAGAAGACGAGAAACGAAGACGGAGAAGATGTCGTAGGAAAGAAAACGAAAGAAATAAAAATAATAAGAAAAATAAGAAAGAGAGGAAGAAGTAAATTACATTACAAAAATAAAGGAAACAGAAAAGAGGAGATAAAATGTAAAAAAAAAGGTTAAAACGGAAAGAATGAACAAACAATAAATGTGAAGAAGAAGAAAAAAGGCTTGGATAATAATAAGAGAAAATTTAATAATAATAATAATAATAATTACTATTATTATTATTACTAAGAGTTAACGAAAAAAATAAAAATAAAAATAGAAAGGATGAGACAAAGAAGACATTGAAGCAAAGGATAATATTGGGAGATATTAAATCTAGAGAAGGCAAAGAAATGAATTAAAAAAGGAGGAGTAATGAAAAACAAAGATGGGAAACAAAAACTATGAAGAAAGTAAAGAAGAAGAAGAAGAAGAAGACGAAGAAGAAGAAAAAGAAGAAATAATGTAAGTTGGGAAGGGCCAGTAACAGTGCTGAGGACCTGGCCACACTTGAGATATTCTCTAATAATTAGAATCGATTTGATTAGCATTCAGAAATCGATAATAACATATGCATTCATGGATTGCCAACAGCCAGAACGAGGCATGTCCTATGTTGGGGAAGTCAACGCATGTACACTGAAGAATTGCACTACAAACTTCAAGCACCATCTTCGGTTGAGCGGACAATTTCAAGTGCTTTCCAACCATGACACGACCTAAAATTCTCTTTTTATTTTGCCCATCGTGTGTGGGTATGAGTGTTCCAACAACTTCAAGCATCAAATCAAAGGGTACTGAAATCAAAAGATGGAATACTAGAAATGTTGGCTTGGAACAGAGCAATAGTTAACAAGCTATAAGATGTGCAGTTAGTGTGGCGGTTATATTCTCAGAATGACGAATCAGTGAAGTGAGTTGAAATTCCAAACTGTTTTCGTAACGTTCACTTTCACACAAATACTCTTGTTAAAAGACTGAATCCCCGTTTACTTTTACTAGCTACGAGATGAAAAGTGGGTCTGACTGAACTCTCTAGTCTTAGTTGGGAACCAATCTTGAGATTGTAACTTGATAGAAAAGAACAACCTGGTAGTCTACGCCACAAACAAGATTATGTCGGCTGGTAAAAAAATACAAAAATCTAAAAAAAACTTATAATGACTAATAAGCTAATTGTTGCGGTTATTTTTTAGATGCAACATTATTCTTATACTAGTGTATTGGTACCGTCTAAAATGACGCTAACTGTTAGAAAATTTTGATAGAGATGAAATGAAACAAAACTGAAATTGAGATTCAATAAGGGTGAAATAAAGGATTCAGAACTAAAAAAGGCCATTTGATGTATTGAAATAACCTGTCACTTCTATAGGTAATTACTTCCTATAAGTATCTGTAAGTCAACGGACTACAGAGGCTAGCTGGGATCTGTTCCGGGTGTGCTGTCAAACACTCCGCCTTCGGGTAGAGAGGAACCCGGACGAGCCTAGGCCGAATGGCAGAGTCTCGTTCGGGGAGGTAGACCGACCCGATCCCGCCTATGGTGGGTCTACGGGGATTTTGGGGGCGAGTCTACGGGATAAGAAACCGCACATTAAATTCGGCCTTGTGCCACATATGACTGCGTGGGGCAGTTGCTAGATAATCTAGATGAGATCTGTTACAGCTGTGCCGTCGAACAATCTACCTTCGAGCAGAGAAGAACCCGGACGAGCCTATGCCGAAGAGCTGAGTCTCATTCGGGGTGGTAGACCGACCCGATCCCGTTTATGGTGGGTCTATGGGGATTTTTGGCCGTGCCCACAGGCTCGGGAACCCCGCATTAAATTCGGTCTTGTGCCATATGTGACTACGCGGTGCAATTGCTAGATACACTAGCTGAGATCTGTTACTCAGCTCTTAGGTGTTGTCGAAATCTCTGCCTTCGGGCAGAGAGGAACACACACAGGAACGATGCTGAAGGACAACTCGATTATTAAAAATGTCTCCCAGTGAGTGAAACGTGTAGGTCTTAGTTTAATGGGCTACAGAAGGACAAGCAACAGAAACCATATCACTAGATGGCTTTTATCAGCAGTAAAAAAAATAAAATAGATAGAAAGATGGAACTCGAAGAGAAAATAATGACATAATCAAAATGTTGATGTTCCAAACTACGCCAAGCAAATAATTAGCAAGGAAACTCCTGTCGATACTGAAAAGAACAATAGCAGCTACTAGTCTTGTCAAGCGTATTTTCTGATAAATTATTTTATAATTTGAAAATTTGGTAAATTTCAACCGCGTTGGCCAATGGTCAATGAATGACAACTGTTTCATTAAAAGGTAACGGTAAGGTCGTCTGTATATTATTTATATACTATACATTTTAAATCTCCTCTGTCTTGCGGACATACCTAAATCCGGTGCTGGAGTTCCTAGGAGAGTCTAATGTTATGTTTAGCTTCCTTCTGGTTACGTCGCTGGTGTCAAGTTATATTGGACTCTACCTTTCCCTTGGACAACATCACTGGCATGGAGAGGGAGGGTGTCGTGCCTGGGCAACCGAAAATCACATCAGAGAGCGTGTTTTGTGGCACTACGCCTAACTAGCTTGGTCTAGACGTTTGTGATCAAATTCTGTTATTAATGTTAGTATGTATCACGCATAATAAACAAGCTATTTATAAATATTTTTAATAGAAATATAAAATTCACATGGCATATTTATAAAATAAATATAAGAATACACTGAAAATTTGACCAACATGTTAGCTATTAGCAGATTTCCATCAGTCTATTTCTATCTAGTTTTCTCTTCAGTTTATTTTTTTTTAAAAAGAAAAAAAAAAGAAATCGTTGTTGACATCTAAGCGTAGTTTTATGGTTTTATTCGTAGATTTAAATTTTTCTTTCTATTCACATCTACCTTCTGGGCTTGTATTGTTATCGACTAGTTTCGCCTGGCTTTCCTCAATTGAAACCCAACAAGCTATTACTATTTCTGTTTTTTTTTTTTTCGTCTGAACTTAATTTCTTTTTAGCGGGAATATACATTGAACTAAAAACCATCCGAAAATCCCTGATTGAGTCGATGGACTCAGGATATAACGTCTAAAATTGGTAGCTGGAATAAGGAAGCCAACTTTTTATTCATTCATCAGAAAAGTTATTTGCGAATTCTATAGAATAAATAAAATGCAGTAAGTTAAATAAACATTTCAATCAAAAGAAACAGCAAAACAATTCCTATTGAGAATTATTTGAAGCTTCTTCAAATTAAATTACCATCATTATTTTTTTCCGCCTTCGGAGTTGTTGATGTTGTTGTTGTTTACAATATGATTTTTCTGCTGTAGTCATTATTATTTCTAATCATTGTGCTTTCAATCCCCCACTAACTGAAGACTTTTCACTAAAGATCAATTGATGACAAGTCTAATCTATATTCTCGGTCTTTATCCGTGTTGATTTTAATCAGGCTAATAATTTACACCAAGTTTTCTCCAAATTACCATTAGTATTATTTGTATATACACGCCTATTGAAACGAGTGGTATCTTTTTAAAATAATTTCACTCCTAGAAAGGCGATAATGCCACTAAGTCGTCAGGGGTTTATTGAGAATGACAGAGAATGAGAAAGACTTTATTTCGCGAGGAGAAATGAGAATAAGCGATTAGGATCCGGGAAGAAAATTGCAATTGACGACGATGTTTCATTTACAATTCTGAAGATTATAGGCGTCAGAAAATTATGAAATCAGAATAGATTTCCAGAGTCAACATAAGAAACTATTTGAATGGTACTCAAAGTATGTATTACTCATGTTCGATGATTGAATGAATAGGTATTTTCAACGTGATTTAACTAATGAAATGAAGACTCGACTTCAATATTAGTAACATGGGAATAGAATACTAACTATATTGCTATATGGCATCATAGGGAGTAAGAATCCAAATTTTGTCTAAACTTGTTTTTTTCTTCCGAATTCGACATTATGATTTATATTAACTAGGAAGAAAGCCGTATAAGTAATCTATTGGTGATTAAAAAAGCACTTTTCATAAATATGTGAAGATTCGGTTTTAAAATGTTGTTCAAATAAAATGTTCTGTATCAGTTAAATATGTAAAGAAATTTGAAAGACATATACGGTTCAAAAATATTTGAAAAGATTAGTGTCCAGGATATATGAAACACTTAAACACTTCATGATAGACGAAAAGCTTTTAAAATCCACGATAGGTGAAAAGATTATACACCCTTGTGCAAATTGAAACAAAACGAATAATTCCATAATTATTTACTTTTTTTTGTATTTTTTCAATGACACATGCCCCGGTGCATATGTTTGTAATCCGTATGTCCATTCCCCGAAGTCGTTCCTTGCGGGTTGGCCACAGATTACCGATTAGATTTAAAACAGGGGACTTTCTGGGCCAATTTATTCACTGGTAAAGCTTGCCAGTGTGGACGTGCAGCGTTACAATTTTCGTACGCTTTCTTGGAGTAACATGCATCGTAGACAATATTCATAGAACAACTAATCGACAGTCGTGACAGTAGTGTCTTCGCGTGATAAAGACCTGATGCAATCACAGATGACGCGATATTTTTCAAGGCCAAATAAATTTCATCATAACCCGAAAATAGATTTTATAATATTAATGCACGCCACTGCAAATGACCTAATCTGAGGAAAAAAATAGAAATCAATTATGTCCTGTCAATTCAGTGGGTCTAAAACTGACCGTATGTTTAAAGAAAGGAAACTGAAGCGGTTGTTTCAATTAATTTTCACAAGGTTGTACACGATATGTGAGGAGATTATACGGTAGACTATAAATGAAAACGATGATTTGACAACCGATATCCACACGTATTATAAAATAACCTGTTCGGAAAACATGAAAAATTGGTTGAATTCGAAAGAAACATATATTTACGTAGATGTAATCTAAGCAGAATGTGCGCTTAGGGCAACAGTTATTGTCGCAGAAAATGGGATTGTCATGTCGAGTTCAAATATAATTCGAATCCATTGTATTCACTTGCGCACAGATGTACTTGGAAAAATAGGAATGCATCACTTTTACCCCCCCCCCCTCCACAGTATGTTATAACAGCAAGATAATCTAGGTTCTCTTTGCCTTCGGTTGGTAACAACATTGAACAAAACACCGTTTGAGCTAGGATCAATCAACACCCCGTCACGTCTAAAAATCTTCTTACCACCGTATCGTGGACGACAAATTAGAAAATTGTTCCAAATATTAAAAAAAAATTAACAAAAAAATTTTAATTGCTTTTGACCATTAACAAAGACGGTGCAGAATACATGAGAGAACACTTTCATATGAACAGAAATAAATCAACATTGTTATTGGGATGGTATCCAGCTTAGACAATTTCACTATCAATATGATTACTGATATAATAAACGAAACATACGACAGCGGTGAAATATTGGAAGACCTGAGTAGATCTATTTTTATAGCTACCTCAGCCGCACTCTCTCTTTCTCTTTCTCTTGAGTGACAATTCAAATCTTTCATATGTGGAA